GTAGATGCCATCACTCTCAGGTAGATGCCATCACTCTCAGGTAGATGTCATCACTCTCAGGTAGATGTCATCACTCTCAGGTAGATGCCATCACTCTCAGGTTGCCAGGTTACACAACTTCCACCACATTTGTGTTTCCTAGTACCCCTGGATAAAAGCAGCAGTTCAGAAACCAGAACCTCACTTTTCTAAAGAAGAGATGAGAGTCCCACTAGAGGCGAGAGAGGCTTGGAACTCTCAGAGGGGTACTGTTATGTTTTCAACATCAGTATTGCTCCAAAAGTTTGAGTACTAAGACTCGGTTGCAAGTGCAAATTCTGTTGGTTGTATGATGAGGTCCCTGATTTTGGATTGGTCCATTTATGGTCTTATCATCTGAAGGCATCATTGGGAGATGATAGCAGGAGGTAGAACTTGATTAGAAGAAATGCTCCCAGGGTACACCTCAGAAGCATGATTGCCGCCCCCCCCCCCCCTTCCCTTCTATCCTATCCCCTTTCACAAGGCAGATACTGCTTCCACTGCATACCTGCCACTGTTAAAGAATCAATGTGCCTTACCAATGAGAAACTGCTCACTTAAGAGATTAATAGGCAGAAATCTAAAAGAGAGAGAGAGAGAGAGAGGGAGAGGGAGAGAGAGAGAGGGAGGGAGAGAGAGAGAAGAAAGGCCCAAAGAATAGACAGTCTCAAATAGAAGTTTTTACTAACTTAGATGTACCTTAAGCTTACACATTTTACATATGTTGTTAGCCTTAAATTTCTTGTGGGTCTCAGCTCCATTATACACTGAACAATTTAAAAACAGACAGGAGACTGCATGTCTGGCCACTTGAGCAGATGGAAGACTTCCACAAGAAAGATATTGCTAGAATTATTTCTTAAGTACAGCAGTGTTGTTCTTCTCGAATAGCTAGTTGTTGCCTTCTCTTATCTCCTAGCGGGATTATGCGCTTCCTGATAAGGGCACAGGGAACTCACTAGCAGACCAGGATTTAATGGTCGCTGTGACCCTGCGCCACCCGCATGAGCTGCCTGGTGGAGGCATGACTTTGTGGGAATGGGCCTGATGGCTGGTCAGTCAGTACTGGTGACAAACAGTCCATCCGACATGGTAAACTTTGCTTACCTCTAATAAGTCTGGGTAGCTACAACTTATCTTTGGGGTGTTTGGGGAACCACACTCCTTTAGCTAAATTCTACTTCCTGTGATTTGATATCTTCTAAGCAAATCTATTAGTAAATCTTTTATTGTCTGTTCTATTACTTGGAGTTCCTCTCACATCACCAGCACAGCATCAGTCTTACAAGCCCCAAGTATGGGGGCCAGACGGCCTTGGGAGACACCAGACCAGGAACAAAGAGAGCCTTTGATATTTAACTTGTTTCTCCTAGATACCCATCACAGCACCACCTACAGCATCACCAATGAGTCAGAGTGGGGAGTTCTAGGGTCCACATCTCTGAGGGAAGGGGTGGAAGGGAAGGCAGTCAGTACTCTGAGATACCTCTTGGTGGCTTCCACTCCTGCAGCCAAGAACCAATGTCACAGGGGTGTCCAGACCCCAAAGCCTGTCCTTGTCCTTTGCCGTGTGCTCTCCACCTCCAGCTAAGAGGTATGAGCGAAACCTGTCCCTCGGCACAGATGCAGCTAGGATGAGCTAGACTCTGTGGCTTAGAAACAACCAATGCTTTCCTCCCATTGCCTGACTTGTTAGTTTGTAAATAATTCCTTTTTTATGGTTTACAATAATTTAATTATCTACTATTGCATGACTTATTTTGGCCAGGCCAATTGTTCTGGTACAGAAATTAGAAGGCTTTTCAAGTGCACAGTACCTTAACTGGATTCTTGTAGCATTACCTAGGACCCTGCTACTGCACATTTAGATTGTTTCTAACTCTGTTCTGAAGGTTAGAGTGTACTCAGTCCCCCATATAAATATGTGGTCACCTAGCCTCCATGTAAAGGTATCTATTTTTTTTAACTACCTCATCTTTATCTTCCTCCTTTCAGTTCATCCACCTCCTTGATATGGAGAATACCCCTCTGAAAAAGACAGAGAATACCTGAAGTGAAGGATCCTGGGAGAAAGAGAGATCTGTTTCAGGGTCTCTGCGTTATGGCTATCTCCCTCCTACCCAGTATCCATGATCCCTCTCTGATTTCCCAGGACACCCTGAAGGGAACACTCCTAGTCTGAGATAGGACCATGGAGGAACCATTGAAATGATGTGAGGGAATTGTACACATTTTTTTTTATTTTTTAAAACTATTTATTTATTTATTTATTATATGTAAGTACACTGTAGCTGTCTTCACACACCCCACAAGAGGGCATCAGATATCATTGCAGATGGTTGTGAGCCACCATGTGGTTGCTGGGATTTGAACTCATGACCTCTGGAAGAGCAGTTAGTGCTCTTAACCACTGAGCCATCTCACCAGCCCCTGTACACATTTTTAAAAAGGTCAGCTTTGTATTGAAGCCAAGAGGGTAGAATGATACAGAGGGTTAGGACAATTCAAGCAAAGATAAATTGCTCTTTAAAATAAAAAGGGCTGACCTAACATGTTGAGTTAGGAGAAAGCTGTTGATTATAGAAGGCCAGAAACATAGCCAGAGTGTGTCCACACAAAGCCAACACCAGTGAGCTGTGAAGGTGCTGTTCCCTTCCAAATAACCAAACTAGTGTTAACCACACCCCAGAGCATGCTTGCCCATACTACCAAACAATCATACTCAAGGGACGCCAGTTGCAGGTGCCTAGGCAGCAAGGGTTATGTTACATCATGAAAGCTTGGCTCGTAGACAAGTTGAGCAGGCTAGTCAGACTGACAGGGGCTGGGAGAGCTGACAAGAGCATTGCTGGTACTGTTCTGAGGGTGATACAGGAATCGTTCCAAGGGTCAAATGCATAAAGTCTGTAATAATGCACCCATTGCCCCAATGCCCCTGGGGAACATGATATGCCCACTCCAGACTTAGCTTTTTTGATTAATTTGTTTTATTATTTTATATGTATGGTTGTTTTGCCTCCCTGTATCCATGTGCATCTTGGGACTGGAGTTACAGATGGTTGTGAGCTTCCATGAGAGTACTAGGAATCAAACCTGGTCCTTGGCAACAAACACTGTTAATTGCTGAGCCAACTCTCCAGTCCACACATACCAACTTTTTATCTATCTACAAAGACTGCTCTGTAGATACCACTTTCTTTTTTTTTTTTTTTTTTTTTTTAAGATTTATTTATTTTATTTATGAGTACACTGTAGCTGTCTTCAGACACACCAGAAGAGGGCATCAAATCTCTTTACAGATGGTTGTGAGCCACCATGTGGTTGCTGAGATTTGAACTCAGGACCTTTGGAAGAGCAGTCAGTGCTCTTAACCACTGAGCCATCTCTCCAGCCCTAGATACCACTTTCTATGTGGGAACAACAGTCTAGCTGTGAGGATTTGGGTTTTGTTTTGTGACTAATGACAATAGCACTGACTACGCACAGGCACTGTTGTAAGTATCCACTCATATTAATTAGTATAAAAGCCTGTGAGACAAATATAGTCATTATTGCTAGATGAGTAAAAACAAGTTAAAAAGTTGATTAAGATTTCTTGACAGAACCAGGACTCAACAGTTTTCAGACTTTTCTTATAGCTTACCTGAGCAGGAATTAATAATGACAACATTTCCTGGGCCAGGCATGATGCTTAAGAATTTACAAATATAGCAGCCCCGTACTGGTATGTTCTATGTTATAGGTGGGGACTAAGGGAGGAACACCTTGGAAGAACTTGGATAATCTGCCCAGTGGCCACACAACTAGCAACCACTAAGTCTGGGGTTGGCCCAGGTCTCCTCTTTCCACCATGACAAAATACAAGCTTGAGACTGTCTCCTATCTCTTGCCATTCAAGACTTTGTCTAAAAATGGTAGGGCAGAGTGGCAAGAAGCTCTGTGTATTTGTGTGTGCTCATCTGATCGGTCTCCACCCGAGTCCTTCCAAAGGCTAGATAATAATGGCCCCCTGGTGTCTAGGCATCTACACACTCATTTCTACCATGTAATATGAGATTCAGAGTTCCATAGAAGGATTGCAGGTTGCGTTCGGCAGCAAGAAGGAAACCAAACTGCAAGATGAGAGGACACAAAGCCCCTCAACTTGAGGCAATTTCATTAGTTTTATACACTGAAGTTCTATGTGACAGCTGTGAAGGAGACAAGGCAGGCAAAGTGTAGCTCCTCAGCAAGCTCGAAAACCATGGTCCTGAGTGAGGCACTGAGACAGGCCAGGGTCTGCTGGACTCAGGCTGGCACTGAGCACCTGTGAGTGTTCAGTAACGACCTGCTGGAGACAGATAGATGTACCCCTTACTTGCTTCTGCAACTCACTCAATTTTCTATAATTATGCTTGGCTTCACAGAGATGAAGACATAGCTTATGGCACAGAATATACATGACTTGGCTCAAGATTACCTGGCACAGCAGCTGCCATGGAATCTGTAGAAATACAGGAATGGAAAGTCCAGGGCACCGAAGAGGTCACCTAAGGAATACAGGAAAGGTGATACAGTGGTCCACACAGCTCCCTCATGCCCCCAACCCAGCTACAATGTCTTCTACACAATGCACTGAGCCCTCCAGCTGCCACATAAGATCGTCTATTGCCTCCCACTAAGGACAATGTGAAATGTGGTGGCCTTCTCTCTGACACTCTGTGGGAGCTCTGAGAGGTTCTGTTACCCACACTCCAACTGATGCCCAGAGAAGAGACGTGACTAAACTGTGTGGAACTGTGGAGGCACAGTGTACGCCCAGGTCAGGCCGGACCTCAGATCTTCCCTTCAGCAGCCAGCAGCCAGCAGCCACACAAGGGACAGTGGCAGAGGAAAGTTTTTTTTTTTTTAAGAGTCTTCCTTTTGTTTAATTACTGCAGAAACAGCACAGGCCCCAGGGCAACCATGCATACTCGGTTTAGTTTAAGGCCCAGAGGGTACATATATTTCTCGTGAAGTAAGTTCATTCTTTTAGTTCCATTTTTAGTACAAGAGGAAATAATCACACATATTGGCTGTTTCTCTCTGGAATTTGAACTTGGTCACAAACAAGAAGTCAGAAGATTAAAAAAGCAGAAACTCTTCCAAAAATGTCCCAAGAAAAGGAATTAAGCATTTCAACAGTGGACAGCTTAGTCCTTTCTAATCTCGAGTTTCTGCAGGAGCCTGGCTCTCCAGAAGCCTGGGCTCTGGTCTGGGTCTGTTCTGTGCAGTCTGGGGAACTAGGCTGATGTCCCTAAATATTCCCTGGTGAAGAGCTTTGCAGTGGAGCTCTAAGAGCTGTTTCCTTCACTTTTTACAACTAGAGTCAAGAACGACACAGACAACTCAGCACATGCAGGAACCTGGGTTCCATCAGCGGGAACATGTGTGAGTTCATGCACGTGCACACACACAGGCACACATGCATGCATTTCAGAACAAGATTCAGGGGGCTGCTACACTTCTATAAAGCCTCCTATGTGACCTCAAATGGTCAGCTACCTATCAGCTCCAATTCTTTTTTTTTTTTTTAAAGATTTATTTATTCATTTAATTTATATGAGTACACTTTTGATGTCTTCAGATACACCAGAAGAGGGCACCATATCCCATTACAGATGGTTATGAGCCACCATGTGGTTGCTGGGAATTGAACTCAGAACCTCTGGAAGATCAGTCAGTGCTCTTAACCACTGAGCCATCTCTCCAGCCCCAGCTCCAATTCTATACTCCTGACCATTTGGATGTTTTAACAGTTGAAATAGATCTTCATTTATGAACATGTATGTCTAACAAGAGTTCTGTGGGATTTAGTTTTTATGCAGCTCAACAAAAGTCAAGGACTCATTGTCTTTAGGTCACCATCCACGGAATGTCTTCCACCTTCCCATGGGAACCTGTGTTAGCAATGTCTCAGCCCTCCAGTTGTCGCCTCCTATCAAGACTCAAGTGACGATGGTGGTCACTTAGAAGGAGCCTGTTTTGTGCAGAGCCTCATGTGAAATGTGGTGACCATCTCTTACAGCCTGCAGCAACTCTGAGAGGTTCTAGTCCTCCAACTCCATCTGAAGCCCAGAGAAGAGACAAGGCTAAAATTTTGTAATTGTTCAACTATGGAGGCAGAATGTGCAACCAGGTCAAGCCAGACCTTAGATCTTCCTTTAATGGTCAGCATCCACACAAGGGACAATGTCAGAGGAAAAGAGCCTGCCTTTACCTGCCAGCTTCACAACTACAGTGTATAATGTACAAGGCACAGAAAAGAACACTGAAGGCTTTTTCTGCAGAGGATGACAACCAAGACAATCCTGGCACTGTGGACTGCAAGAGAGGCCGAGGCTCTGCTCAGCCATGGATGGACTTCTGTGGAGAATCTGTTCTGTCTTTTCTGCAGCTGCCGGTCCTTGTCCAACCTCCCTTCCCATGTGAGAGAAACTGCAGGCAGTCAGGGAGATAACAAGGAATGAGAGAGAGGGTTATCAGTTAAATCTAGGACCTTAAGAGCCCCTAAATGCACCTCCTCTTGACATCCCATTTTGTCATAAATGTTCCAGCTGGGTAACCTGGTGAGGGTACATGGGTAGTATTTATAGCCCAGGCTTTCAGAGTCTAAAGAACAAGAGGAATGATCTGGGATAGACAGGAAGGGAAGGAAATAAAGAACAAATCCCAGCCCTAAGGAACTTGCCAGCCAGATGATAATCACTATCCAGACCACAGGAGCCACTCTTGTGAGTTACAGGGAGGGTAAGAAGCAAAAATACATGAGAAAAGAAAAGCCTGCCTTTTTCCTTAAGTCATTTCTAAAACCATCTACACAACAGCTACTTGCCTGGACAACTGGCATGCCCCACGACCAAGAACTATCAATCCTTTGAGAGCATAGAGTCCATCTCACTCACTCCAGTGGCCACAAAGAAGCCTCAGCAAGCAATGCTCAAAGAAGGGGGTCTGAAAGAGCTTCTTGATAGGCCAGACATGTTCTAGACTTGACTCTGTGACCCTAAATTTCTAGCTGACTCTAAATGTGTCCTTTTGGACACATGATGTTCTGATCATGGTTTTCCCTCCTTCAGATCCTACCTACCCATCCAACTCCATACCTTTCTCTAGAAAACAAACAGGTGAATAAATTAAATAAACCGAACAAGAGCTAAAAACGCAAAAGCAAAGAAAAAGTAGAAGCAAACACACACACACACACACACACACACACACACACACACACTGGGGGGGGGAATATTTGAATGTTCTAGGACAGTTAGGGTTGTGTAAACCAGGCTGGCCTCGAATTCACAGTAATCCACCTGCCTCCACCTCCCTAGTGCTGAGATTAAAGGTGTACATTACCAAAATAGGCAAAAACAGGACTTTTAAACAAAAAGGGGAACCTATCTGCCCATAAACAGCAAAGGTTGGTGACACTGCTATAAATACCACAAGGATGTTACAGTTGTAGCTTGTCCCAGCCCAGGAGAGCTTGATCCCGGAGCCTAAAGAATATGTGAAGGTGTTGGGAGCTGTCTTAGTTAGAGTTTATATTACTGTGACAAAACATCATGACCACCAAGTTGGGGAGGAAGGATTTATTTGGCTTACACTTCCAGATCACAGTCCATCACTGCAGAAACTCAGGACAAGAACTAAAGGAGGGATGGAACCTGGAGGCAAGAGCTGATGCAGAGGCAATGGAGGGGTGCTGCCTACTGGCTTGTTCAGCCTCCTTTCTCATAAAATTTAAAACCATCACCCACCTCCACTGATTATGAAAACGCCTGAGAGCTGGATCTCATGGAGGCATTTCTTTAACTGAGGCTCCTTCCTCGTTGATGACTCCTAACTGGGTCAAGTTGACACACAAAATCAGCCAGTTTAGGAGCTAAAGATGGATCAGCAATTAAGCACTTTCTGCTCTTGCAGAGGACCCAGGTTTGGTTCCAAGCATCCACATCAGGAGGCTCACAACCTGTGTAGTGGTTTGAATAATATGCTTGGCCAATGGAAAGTGGCACTATTTGGAGGTGCGGCCTTGTTGGAGTAGGTGTGCCACTGTGGGCTTGGGCTTTAAAAACCTTCATCCTAGCTGCCTAAAAGTCAGTATTCTAGCTGCCTTCAGATGAAGATGTAGACCTCTCAGCTCCTCCTGCATCATGCCTGACTGCATGCTGCCCTGCTCCCACCTTGATAATGGACTGAACCTCTGAACCTGTAAGCCAGCCTCAATTAAATGTTGTCCTGATAAGAGTTGCCTTGGTCATGGAGTCTCTTCACAGCAGTAAAACCCTAACTAAGACATAGCTCAAGAGGTTTCAGAAGGGAAGAATTTTAGTATATTGCCAAGATACTGCTTTTGTGATATTCTGGGGAAGAATGTGCCTGCTTTTTGCTCTTGTCCAAAGTCTGCCTGAAGATAAAGTAGAGATTTAAATTAACTGCATTGACAAAGAAAGTCTCAAAAAGCCTAGTTTAGATTTTTATCTGTGGTTCACTCTCATGAAGAGAACCTAGCAAGCCTAGAAAGGAAAAATACAAAATAAATGGTCCAAAGAGTAAAGGAATACCAGGAAGTGGAATGAAGCCACATCCTGTGTTCAAAAATATTAAATAGAGTTAAGGAATGGTGACCTTGGGGAAGGATCCCACCCAGCTAAGCTTATTGTTTATGCATTTGAAATTGAACAAGGGATAGTTATATCATGTTAAATGTTATTATGACCTGGTTATTGTTTTCATTTGGGCATAAGAAGATATGATTATGTGTAAAATTCACAAAGGATGGATTGTGACAGCTATTCTCAGTTGTCAACTTGAATATTTGTGTAATGAACTACAATCCAAAACTTATAAAGATCTTGTGAAAAGGAAAAGCTTAGGCCTAGGTTTCATGGTACATGCCTTTAATCCCATCACTCAGGAGACAGAGGAATGCAGATCTTTTAAGTTCAAGGTCAGTCTACAGAGCAAGTTCCAGGGCAGCCAACCTTAGGCAGTGACAGAGCTGGAAAACAGAAAGCTGGAGCTAAGAAGTTAGTGGTGATTAAGAAAAGACCAGCATCACTGTGGTAAAATCTTCTGGGAAATGTTTTTTAAGAGCACAAAGAAGCTGTGTTCCAGAGATAGAACTCTTGCTGACAGCTAGACTTGGTACCATGTAAGGGTCACCCAGGTATTACTGGTTTTAAAGGCATGGAGGGGTCATGGAGAAGAGCTGAAGGATGGGACTGTGAGAGGCCAAGAAAGGCCATTGGTGAAGGTGCAGTCTCAGTTGCAGCTGACAACCCAGGATTGAAGGGGTCATGAAAAGAAGCTGAGGCTTGGCACCATAAAAGGGACCTATGAGAGGCTACTGGTGAAGCCTAGTTGCATCAGAAGATCTCAGTGTATTGGAGACACCAGTACCATGAGATGACTTCCAAGAACAGCAGCAGCAGTGAAGTGAAGTCAACCAGAGCCTAGAGAAGGCAGAACTGGAGAAGTGACCCAAGCCCTTTGGGGGAGCCTAGAAGATCATGTGTGGATCCCAGACATTGGAACAAGAAGCCATGAAACTGAAGTTGCCTTGGAGTCCCCGAGATGTTACAGATGTCACAGCTGTGGGATACCTGCCTAGAAATGCTGCTAATAGGGAGTGGAACTAGCCCAAGAGAAAGAAGTGTGTTGCAGTCAAGTGAGTCAGAGATCAGACATGGAAATGCAGAGATTAGAGCTTGCCCAGTTTTGGTCCAATAGCTCCTCACTGATGTTTTGGAATGGTAATGTTTATCCTGTGATATTAGAAGTATGTGATCTGCTTTTTGATTTTATAGGGAATTACAGTTAAGAGACTGTATGAATCTCAGAAGAGAGTTTGAACTTTGGACTTTTAAACATTGCTGAGTCTGTGACAGACTATGAGGACTTTTGAAGGTGGAATAAATTTATTTTGCATTATGCTATAGCTAGGTATGGCTCCCATAGTGTTTGAAAAAGCCTATGGGGGCCAGGAAGTAGAATGTGGTGGTTTGAACATGCTTGGCTCATGGGAAGTGGCATTATTACAAGGTGTGTGGTCCTGCTGGAGGAAACGTGTCAATGTTGGGTTAGGCTTTGAGGTCCTATGTCCAAGTTCCATCCAGTGCGGAAGAGAGCGTTGTCCTGGCTGCCTTCAGATCAAGATGTAGAACCATCAGATCATTCTCCAGCAACATATCTGCCTGAGTGCGGTCATGTTTCCTGCCATGATAAAGGACTAAAGCTCTAAGACTAAGCCAGCCCCACCTTGGTCATGCTATCTCTTCACAGCAATGAAACCCTAACTAAGACACCCTGGAACTCTAGCTCAGGGGCTCTAATGCCTTCTTCCAGGCTCTGTACATATGTGCGTGTTTATGGTACACATTCATAAACTTAGTCACATATACATAAAATGATAATCTTAAAACAAAACAATGCTCCTCTGTTTTTCTCTGCTGAGCTACATGGCAGAAGCAGCACATAAATGGCTGATGGCAGCCACAGAAGGCTTCTGTAAGCAAGTGTGAGCATCCCGAATGGCTAGGTTCCAGGTAGCACTTTACTGAGCAGAGGACACAAACCCCACTGCTCTGAAGGTAGCAGAACTAAAAACTGCAACAGTGACCTCGAATGACTTGCTCCACTAACATGAGGTGAAACACAAGGGAAGATTCCTCTCACCCCATTCAGCCCTAGAACTGGCAGTGAATGGTCAAGGCAGGGGGTATCAATTCCAAACAGTGGCAGTTGCTGTTGCTGCTGCTGCTGCTGCTGATGCTTTACCTCAAGCCACAGCATCTCATGAATCAAAGCCATGCACCAAGTTCTCTGCTGACTCACATTTCTGAGACCTCCCTGCTCTTTTTTTTTTTTTTTTTTTTTGGTGTTTCGAGACAGGGTTTCTCTGTGGATCTCTGGCTGTCCTGGAACTCACTCTGTAGACAAGGCTGGCCTCGAACTCAGAAATCCACCTGCCTCTGCCTTCCAAGTGCTGGGATTACTCCCTGCTCTTCTGATTGCTTTAAAGCTCCTCTTTTGAATACCACAGCAAATGACCCCATAAGAATATAAAGTGTGCCAGGCAGTGGTGGCATATGCCCTTAATTCCAGCACTTGGGAGGCAGAGGCAGGCGGATTTCTGAGTTCGAGGCCAGCCTGGTTTACACAGTGAGTTCCAGGACAGCCCAGGAAAAAGAAACCCTGTCTCGAAAAACCAAAAAAAAAAAAAAAAAAAAAAAGAATATAAAGTTCATGAGAAGACTTTTAAACATGAGAAGACTATCTCTATTAGAGGTCAAAGAGTTTAAAAAGAAAGGAATGAGGTCTTCTCAATTATGGTTCTAAGGTTCTTGAGCCCTTTTATTAACTTGTAAAATGGCTTGAGGAATAGGTCAGCTCTGTCTTCCCAAAACCTACAGAAACTCAGTGTTCGAGGCATGCAAATGATCTGCCTGATCCCAAGAAGCATTTACAGGGAAACTCATCCTATAGCCTCTCAGAAACAAGGGAGAGGGAAGCTCAGGCAAGAACTGCACTAGGAGGCCCTCACCTGCTAGAGGCAGGTGACTTAACCTGCTGTTAAGTCAGACAGAGATAACAAAGGTTGATGAGGGTATGAAGCCACTGAATCCTCATGCTGTACTGACGGAAATGGCAAATAGTACAAACACTCTGGGATATTCATACTTTCTTAGTTAAATATACATCTACTCTAAGACTCAACAAGTCTATATAGCTGTTTTATCTGCTGAACTTTAGAATTAGCAGCAAACAAACATTAGAAAATGTCGTGATTTAAATGAAAATGTCCCCAAGGCTCATAAGGAGTGGCACTCTTGGGAGGTGTGACCTTGTTGGATGAAGTATGTCACTTGGAGCTTGTTTTGGGGGTTTCAGAACGTTAAGCCAGGCTCAGAGGCACTCTCTTCCTGCTGCCTGACTATTCAGATGTAGAAATCTCAGCTATCTTTCCAGTGCCAAGTCTGGCTGCATGCCATGGCAATGATGAACTCAGCTTCTGAACTGTAAGCCAGCCCCAACTAAATGTTTTCCTTTATAAGAGTTATGATGGTCATGGAGTCTCTTTGCAGCAATAAAATCCTGAAATGGAAAACAACACTAAGATCCATTTAAAGTTAATGTAACTGACTCCCAAGAGGTCTTGTACATTCTGAATGTGATATTTACTGTTAATCATCAAACTGATAGAATCTGGAATTATCTGGGTAGTGACCCTCTGGCATGCATATAGGAGATTTCTTAATTATATTGAGGAGGGAAGGACCCACCCACTGTGTATGGCACCATTCCCTGGCTGGGAAAGAATAGATAGAGGGATGACCTGAGTTACAACAGACATTCATTTCTCTTTTTCCTAACTGCAGATGGGATGTGGCTGCCACTTTAGCTTCTGCACAAGGATGGACAAGACCCTTGAACTGTGAGCCTTCCTTCCTAATGTTGCTTTTGTCAGAGTACTTTGTCACAGCAACAGGAAAGGAAACTAAGACACGTAATTCCTGTCATTTTCATACCATAGCCCTTAGTGTCTTGATAATCTGCTCTAAGAAACAAAAATAAAGCATTCAACTATTCCTGAGTGACTCCGAAGAGATGGGCTGCTGCTTGTAGCTGTATAGGTTAGCTCCTGCACAGTTTTGAGGATTGTGCACAACTCATACAGACTCAGCTCAATGGAAAACTTCATTTCTACTAAGCTTTGACATCTGTGGAACTCCCTAAATAGGAGATGGGATAAGCAGACATATCCATTCTTAAGGCATCTTGATACACAGTTTGTAAAAGCTCTAGGAAAGTGACAGACATGACCTTGGTGACCACACAGAAGACTTTTTAAAACAGAATAAAGTTTACAGCTAAGGAGATGGCTCAGTAATGTACTTGCCATATAAGCACCCATCTCATAAAACACAGGCATGATGGCGTGTTTGTAATCCTAGGAGTAGGGCAACAGAGACAGGCGACTCTTTAAGGTTTGCTAGCTGCAAGTTAGCCTGGCTGACTTGTTGGATCCAGTAAAAGTGAGAGACCCTGTCTCAAAAAAGCAATGTGGATGATGTCGTGAGAAATGACACCCACAGTCTGCCTCTCCTTTATCCACATACTCACACATGTGTACATCCCGCCCACATTAGCATGCATTAATATGTATGCATACATGCATATACACACACAAAAGAAAAAAAAAAAAGAAGACACCTTCACATTACCCAGTATACAAAGTGTGGCTTACAATGTCACTGTTCAAGAATTAGATCATGAACTTGCTTCTAGTACACACAGGAAGAATCCCATTCCTTCTGGATTGCTGCCAACGGACATATCCATAAATCACTCCACACCTACCTTTGCCGGGGCTTTTGCCGAAGCCCTGCTATGGCACTCAGACATCTAGGACTCTGGACACTAAATTTTGGGGGCATTCATTTCCTAGGGAAGTCAAGGTTATCCCTGTTGTTGACGAAAGAGGTGCAGCCAACCATTAGCTCTGCAGAACTCCTTCTCGTGAACGAAATTTCCTGTACCAAGCCTCTTCAAAGACATCCCTTTGGTTAATGTGAAGTCACAGACAGGACTCCTCTTGTATAACAAGCTTACAGCACGTGCTTACACATATGCGTGGGGGCACACACGCACATACATGGTCTAGGAATTAAACCCAGAGCTCACATATGCTACACACGTCTCTAAGTCTCCCACTGCGTAACACACCCATCCTACAAATATAGTCTGAAGGAGAATTACTCTCTGTCAGTGTGATCACACTCCAAACTAGTTCTCAAATTAGAGAGTTTTCATTTTTGTCTCTGATATACTTTCTGATTAAGATATAATTCACACCATAATTCATTCATCCTTTGAAATGTCCACTTTCAGGGCTGGAGAGATGGCTCAGCAGTCAAGAGAATTGACTGCTCTTCCAGGAGTCCTGAGTTCAATTCCCAGCAACCACATGGTGGCTCACAACCATCTGTAATAGGATGTGGTGCCCTCTTCTGGTGTGTGTGAAGGCAGCCAGGCAAGTGTTCTACCACTGAGCCACATTCCCCATCCACCACCCGGGTTAGATGTAGTTTCACATCAACAGAGTACTCACATCCTCTAGTCTCTCACAGAACATCTTCAGAGATCTAACCAGGTCAGACTCCTGGTTTTGAACAATAATTACAAATAACCACTAGAGTAGCTTACCTGTGGGATGAGATGCAAATGCCAGGAGTACCATACTGAAAAACAAAACAAGCAGAAAAACACAGCAGAACAGTTAGGAAAGCTTTCTTCAGCACATACCCAACACCTAAAAATGCATTTAAAAATACACATTTCCATCCAATTTCACCAGTTAAAGTTACCTGAAAGAAACTGACTACCCTCACTGGTCTTTCTGCTTGAACCCAGATCCTGAATGAGAATCTCTGGGAATGGCTTATGACTTAGCAAGAGGGCTGTGGTGGTTTGAATAGGTTTGGTGCCCACAGACTCATGTGTTTAAATGCTTGGCCCACAGAAAATAACACTATTAGGAAGTGTGGCCTTGTATGAGTGGTGTGTTGCTGTGGATATGGGCTTTGAGATGTCCTAGGCTTAGGCTCTGCCCAGTGTGGAATTCTAGTATCCTCTTGGTTGACTGCAGAAAACAGTGTCCTCCTGGCTTCCTTTAGATCAAGATGTACAACTCTCAGCTCCTCCAGCACCAAGTCTGCCTGGATGCTGCCATGCTTCCCACCATGATGATAATGGACTGAACCTCTGAACTGTAAGTAAGCCAGCCCCAATTAAACATTTCCCTTTATAAGAGTTGCCATGGTTATGGTGTCTGTTCACAGCAATAAACCCTTAGACAAAGGCTCATGCCTGGGACAAGGGTTTCATGTCCCTTTCCTTGGCCCTGGCTGGCCCTATTATTATGTTCATTTAACTTAGAATGATTATTTGAAAGCTAACCAAACAAGTTCCAAATTTCAAGTAGGTTGCAAGCTAAAAGCTAGCTGTTGGATGTGAGCTAAGGATATTTTTGACATAAGATGAGCATGTACAAAGTAGTTAAATTTCCAACTGACTCACTCACAAATTTATCCCTCTTCTCTCTGCATAGGCAAAGATTACCTGAGTCAACACTCACTAGATGCCACGTGGTGAGGGATGTGAAGGAGGGCTCCTCTGATGTGGCCATGGTCTTTAAATGTTTATTGTCATGGTGGAAAATGAATGAAGCTATACCCCGTGTTCTCAGGGTGGGCCTGAGGTTAAATACCTTTTGCCAGGAGGAGGGTCTGGGAAGGAATGCTTAATTGGCTATACCCTCTGGCCTTTAGGTATCTCATGAATATGGAGATCTCTTGAGGCTCTGTGGCCTGTATCATTCCCTCTACCTGAGCTACATGATGAATGGCCACAAACCTCTCTGTGGGAGGGACTGTAGAGGGCTGTATCTATGTGAAAGGAGCCACAGGCCCAGGAGCAAGGCCGAACTCCTTCTATCCCTGGAGGGTCTCCGGGGTTCAAGGCCTACTCGACCCAGCTGCCTCTCACAGCCCACTGCCCCACAGCAGGTCATAGGCAATGGACATCTCCCAGCACAGGAGGGAGATGGCAGAATAAACAGCTACATATCACATAGAGTCATTTCTCTATGTTGCTATTCCTTTGTTGCATGGCATTTCTTCTGTGCAGAACTGCCTACTATGACCCAACATCTGGGAAATAAACCCAACGCCCAGTGCATGCTGGGGACTTTACCACTGAACTATAGCACTGGGAAACATTCTTAGACACCAAGAACCATTGCATGTTGGGGAAAAGTATCTTAAATCCCAGCCAGTAGCTGGAAGGTAGAGACAGGCAGATCCCAAGGGCTCACTGGCCAGCAGCCTAGCTGAAATGGCAAGCTCCAGGTTCAATGAGAGAGCCTCCTTCAAAAAATAAGGCAAACAACAAAGGAAGATACCAGAAGTTGACCTCTGGAACACACACACACACACAGCACCAGCCAGTAGGTCTAAGCACAGCATAACTAAAGACTGGGACTTTTTTTCTGAGTACAAAGGCAGCAAACAGCTGTGCTTACGGAGAATTTTACATTAAACAGTGTTTGGTGGGAGAGATGATCAAGAGGTTAGTGTGTGCTGTTCTTGCAGAGGACTGAGTTCAGTTCCTAGCACCCATATCAGGGGACTCACATGCCCTGTAGCTCTGGCTCCAGATGAAACTTGTTTGCCCACTGCCAGTACTTGTTCTCATATGTGTGCACATATGAACACAAACATGACTAATTAAAGATCAAGATACTACTGGTATTTTAATAACTTCTGGGTTGAGTTGTCCAATAGGAGCTTTCTCCGAAAATGAAGCTATAGTGAATGCTGAATGTTGTAAGTCAAGTAACTCCATCAGAAACTGCCACCACCAAACGCTATGGTACAGATCTAACCTGGTGCTCTCACTGCAAGTCTGTATGCAGACACAATTGGCTCCCCAGCAGCACATTCCCAGTCAAGTCTGGAGTGCACAGCCTGAGGCTGCTAAAGCTCAAAACCATCCTGAGCTATCTATCACATGGAGCAGGACAACCCCATCCTCTGCTGGGCACACACGGAAGTCTATACACCATACTTAAAAGTTTCTAAATTAAGCCTCAGACATCACTAACCACTTTAACAAATACACCATGAAAACAACCTTAGGTCTAGATTAAAATGTAGACTCTTGAGAATGTCTGAAGCTTCATATCAATGAGATCTGGCCTATGGCTCTCTGCTCTGTATCCTGTAGGGTATATGTATGTGTTGGCAGGGGAGGATGTCTAGGTGTTGTTGGAGGGGTGTCTGTGTGTGTTGGGTAAGATGTGGGGGGTAAGGGGTCAGATAAGACAGGCTTTAACAACAAGAGCCAAGCTCAGGGCCACTTGAATAAAAGATTCAGGATTCAGTCTAGAGGTTTGGGCACTAGAAAAAATATCTCTCGGGCTGGAGAGATGGCTCAGCAGTTAAGAGCATTGATTCCTCTACCAGAGGTCCTGAGTTCAATTCCCAGCAACCACATGGTGGCTCACAACCATCTGTAATGGAGTCTGATGCCCTCTTCTGGTGTGTCTGAAGACAGCAACAGTATATTCACACATGTTAAATGAATAAATAAATCTTTAAAAAAAGAAAAAAGAAAAAATATCTCTCATCTTCCAGGGGCAAGGGTCAGACCCTCTGAAGCTCAAGGCCAAACAGGCTCTTGCCAGGGCTAAGGGTAGGCCAACCATTTAGATTCTTCAGATTATGATCAACACACAAAATTTAAACTTGCTCCTAGCAGTCAATATGTTTAAAATTCTATAATAAAAATACTGCTAGAATATAAAAATTCATCTGGAGGCATAAGCAGGATACACATTACTCTTGAAAACTGTAAAAATGTCTTACCTGAATATATAGTTTAAGTACTGCTGGTCAATGTCACTAAGAAATAAGAGGAAAAAAACTCATGAAATAATGGAAGGTATTTTTAAGTCTATAAATGGTCATTATCTTCTATTAATAAATTCTACCTCTAAGTTATTGATTTCATAAATTATCAAAAGAGTACTTCATATTTTAGTTCAATTTTTGTCATTTAACATGAAATAACATTTTAAACTCCATACAACTCATGGAGCCTTCACCCCTACCTACATTCTAGTCTCTTTGGTTCGGGAAGGTATTCTGCAGGTCACCGAAAGGGAAATGTGGACAGCCATCAAGCCTCAAAGCCTTTGACCTACAATCTGTGCTGCCTGCAAGGTGCACTAGAGCAATGGTGGCACAGACTTGTGGGAGTGGCCAGTGATGTGACTTAAGGCTCACTCCTCAAGAAAGAACCCATACCCAACAAGATAGGATAACAAGAACTAGTGACTAGATGCCCGGAGACCTAGGGTAAAATCAAACATTGAGCAATATGACAAAATAGAGGGATTCCAAAGATATTCTGCTATACTCCTAGATCAGTGTCCTCATCAGAGAGGCTTCCTTTGAGGCAGATGGGAACAGATGTAGAGACTCCTTGCCAGGCATTATTTGAAGAGTCTAAACTTGAGGTTTCCATGAAATCCCTCCCCTGAGGGATGAGAGTTGAGAGAATCCCGTGGAAGAGGAGGTAGAAAGATTATAAGAGTCAGAATAGAGGAAACCAGAAGAACATGGCTCTTTGAATCAACTAAGCATGGTGCTTAGGCTCTCACAGAGATTGAAGCAGCAAGCACAGGGCCTACATGGGTCTACACCAGGTCCTCTGTGAATACATTACAGTTACGAACTGCAGTAGATATGCAGGTAATTCTCAAAGAAGCAGAAATACAAATTCTAAACCTGTATTGTTGTTTAGCATCAATGGACCCATTCCTTTTGAGCAGACATTTGCTAGTTCAGTACAAATATACTCGTCACCTGAGTCTACTGCTGCCCGTGTATGTATTGGCTATTCTCAAAGGATAATCACTATCAACCCTATCAACTATTTTGGACCATGGGACTTACTGGCTTCCAGGGCTAGCATTCTAAGCAGATAAAAATTCAGGGCCAGCAAGATGGCTCAAGAGGAAATACAGCTCTGGGCCCTCAGTCTACTCCCACAGACAGATAGAATGAACTGAAGGAAGAAGAGGGAGCTGATTCCCAGAAGCTATCTTCTGACCTACACACTAACCATGGCACAGGCACGTCTCACATATGCATGCTACACACACATAGGATTTCTTTGTAAAAATCCAGAGTATTCAAATAAATTTAAAACTCAGCTAAAAACTTATATCTTAGTGTATGTTCAATACCATGTAGTAGATACTTGAACTATAAGAATCACATTCAACCTCAGATTTAAGTGAGCATTGTATACTTTGTGTGGCTTTGGGTTGTTTTGTTTTGTGGGACATAGGTTTTCCTATGGAGCCCAGTGAAGCCTTGAATTCTCAATCACCATACCAAAGAAGAACTAATTATAGATCTTCCAAATCACACCTGGCTCTGGAGCTTTTGGCTACAGAAACATTCAAAGAACAAAGGCAACCTGAGGAGTAAAAGTCACAGGGACAGGGCCTTCACCTTCGAGTCACAGGGATAGGGCCTTCACCTGGGAATCATAAGACAGGGCCTTACCTGGGAGTCACAGGGACAGGGGCTTAACCTTGGGGGGGGGGTCACAAGGGACAGGGCCTTCACCTGAAAGTCACAGGGACAGGGGCTTCACGGGGGAGGGGGGGTCACAAGGGACAGGGGCTTCACCTGGGAGTCACAGGGGCAGGGCCTTCACCTGGGAGTCACAGGGACAGGGCCTTCACCTGGGAGTCACAGGGACAGGGGCTTCACGGGGGATGGGGGGGTCACAAGGGACAGGGGCTTCACCTGGGAGTCACAAGGACAGGGCCTTCACCTGGGAGTCACAGGGACAGAGGCTTCACCTGGGAGTCACAGGGACAGAGGCTTCACCTGGGAGTCACAGGGACAGGGCCTTCACCTGGGAGTCTCAGGGACATGGGCTTCACCTGGGAGTCACAGGGACAGGGCCTTTGCTTGGGAGTCATTCCCTAGGCCTCCCTTTCTGTGCCTACAGGCACCTCCACACCCAGAGGCCAACTAACCAGTCTCAGGTTCCAACTGGGTGGAGGCAAAAATTCTTTTTTCCTTTCCTTTTGTTTTTCTTTTTATTTGCATTCACTAAGGCTGTTTCATTTGTGGCTTACATCAGTCTGGACACTAGAGACATTCAGATATAAACTGAATTAGGCTTTAGGAGCCATAAAAACAAGAAGGCTGCCCTTCTGTGCTAGACACAGTGAGAAGGCTAGGCTGATTCCATGACAGGCTTCAGATGGGCAGTGACAGAGACTAGGCCTACATCTCTGTTTCCAAACACTGAGCAACTCCAGGGAAGTCCAGGCCTCAGAAGCTGCCGCCACCTGGCCTGAGGCAAGGACAATGGGTCAGCCACAGTTTCCAGACTTCCTCAGCTACTTCCTCAGCAACAGTTTCCAGACCTCCCCAGCAAGTTTTCAGCCCCCAAACCCAGGTACTGGAATGTCCAGAGAGAGATTAATCCAACAGATTAACATAGAGGTCACCTACCCTGGAATCCCCTAATGTGCTTTAAATCAGGCCTGCAAGCTCACCTGGGTGTCTCTCTAACTTGGTAATGGGAGACCCCAGCGTGCTGGACTTCTGCAGAATAAAACACTCTTTGCATTTACATACTATTTGAGTACAGGGTATCACTCTTCGGCAAATCATGGACCCTTACAGTCAGCAAGCAGCGCCCTGAACAGCTGGGCGTATGGGCACTTCACTAAGTGCTAAATGTCTGTGTTTGCAGGATAAGAGACTTCCTTGCCTCTGCACACACTGCTGAAGGCAGGTGGCAACAGACCTAAAAGTGGCGTAATTAGCAACAAGAAGAATGGCTTTGGAGGCCATGTACTCTCCTAGCTTCATCTCCGGCTAGAGAGAAGACCTGCATCATGTGTGGGTCTCATCTCCTTTGCTATCCAACTCCCCAAATGTTAAGAGCTTACCTCAGCACACTGGGCTTCTGGGATTTCCGAAGTATTTTGTAAGAACCTAGACAGAAAGAGACACAAGAAGTCTCCGGCACTTTCTGCTTAAGGAGCTGCCTATACTTCCAACAAAACAGAAAACCCACAGGGAGAAGGATAGCTGGCTCCAGCCTCCCTCTCCCAATTTCACACTCTGACAGGAAGAAATACCACCAGGGATTGCAGAGATCCCATGATAATGTCAGGCCCTTAAGCCCAGCAGGAAGCACTTGGCCAGGAATAGCCAGGTGGTACTGATAACAGGGCAGTTTTAGTTCTTCCCATGTTGCATGTGGAGAACAGAAATCCCCAAGCTTTCTGATTGCAACCAAGTCAAATGAGAAATACTGAACTCATGACTTGAATTAAAATCAATTTTTTTTTTTTTTTTTTTTTTTTGGTTTTTCGAGACAGGGTTTCTCTGTGTAGCCCTGGCTGTCCTGGAACTCACTCTGTAGACCAGGCTGGCCTCGAACTCAGAAATCCACCTGCCTCTGCCTCCCAAGTGCTGGTATTAGAGGTGTGTGTCACCACCGCCCGGCCTCAAACTGTTTTTTAATTTCGCCTTTTTGGATTTTGGGAAAATTTTAGCCAGGCCATTCTGAGTGTTCAGTCTCAAAGCCCATATATCCAGAAATGACCCTAAGCAGGACTATAGGATTTCTGGAGGTCAAATAAAGCAAGCATTCCTCAGGAACTTGTGAAATGAGTTTTTCTTCCCCAAAAGGACTCCCTCCCCCAGCTACTCATCCTCTTTATAATCCAGATTTGTCCAAGCCTCCCTCACCCAATATGTTCTCTCCCTCTTTTGAGCTTTTCCTGCTATGCTGTCTCTTGCTACCTCCACTACTCTCTCCCACCTACTTCCCCAGCCCTGGCTACGACCAACCTGCTTCCTTCCTCTCTGCTCTGGACTCTTCCAGATGGATAATAAGTTAATTAACCCTTGCTCCTCCTAGAGTGGTCATGCCAGCAGTTGCTCTACTGAGCCCACTATTTTTAGGAAAGACCAACCAGCATTACAAATGAAACCCAAGCCAGGTGTTGTGGCTCATGCCTTGTGCACTTTCCATCCCAGAGGCAGAGGCAGAGGCAGAGGCAGGTGGGTCCCTGTGAGTTCAAGGCCAGCCTGGTCTACAAAGACAGCCAGGGCTACATAGAGAAACCCAGTCTTGAAAAGCAAAACCAAAAAGACAAATGAAACCCAAACCAAGGAGAGTTTGGTAGAAAAGAGAATTATGTTGAAAATGGAAATACCTGAGTTCAAAGTAGAAAAAACAAAATCTGGAAAATGTCTATTTTACTTTCGTCTTAATGTTTTAATTTTCCTATTGTCTTGGGTCACTAAAAGTGGCTACACAGTAAGAGCTTAATAACAGTCCTCAGTTGTTTAAAAAAAAAAAACTTTTAAAAACTTACCTACACAAAAGAAGTGGATTAGAGCCCAAAAATATCCATCTGGATCAAACTGTAAGACAGGATTAAAAAGGCAAAGAAATGCCAAGTTATAGACAAGCAGGAATTGTACAGCAGCCAGGTCAGATGGCAGAGAGCAGTAGGCTCCAGAGCAGCACTCCTGGGGCTTAGAATCAGTTGTTTCCCACCCAAGGGTCCCAGATAACTTCCTGGGTTCTCCGTCACCACCCCAATATGTTCAAATGCAAATTCATGACATCCAAAGATGTCTGTCTGTTGTGGTAAAGAATGGAATCTAACCCTAGGTGGAGACATCCTATTGGCTCCTCCCTTAAGAGATAACCCGGTTGTGTGCACTGAGATTTTAGGCTTGCACCACCACACCCAGCTTTTTTTTTAAACCTGGGTACTGGAAATCCAAACTCTGGTCCTCAAGTACTTACCCAATGAGCCATCTCTCTTGCCTGTGTTGTGAGACTTTAAATAAGGCAAACAAAACATGGGCACAGAGCCCAAGGTAAGGCAACTCCTGTAACTGTTAGTTATTCCTACTTTTAGGGTCTCTGAGCCCTCTTAGGGATTTCCCAGCTTCAGTGTTTCCCTGGGCAGAGCCCTGGCCTCTCTGTTATAATAATTTGTTGTCTTGGTCGGTTTCCCTCCCCTTTGCTACAAATGTCTCCAATTTCTGCTGGGATGGATGGATTAGTGTTCCTATCCTTGGTGCCTAGTTCAGTGACTGACACTCCCTAGAGTCTTAATACTAGGGGAAAAAAGGGGCAAGGTAAGTAAGAAAAAAAATGATTCTCACACACACACACAAAGGTAATTGTTGAGGTCTGGTCTGTTGTTATGTATTGTATGCTAAATACTGACCCCCAAGGTCTGGTTGCCCATCGACCCCACCCCCACCAGGCACAGGAGGAGATCTTCAGGGACAAGGAGACCCTCACATACACCAAGTGACAGTACATAACTTTGTTTCTTAAGTTAAAACTATTGGTTAAACAAAGATGCCCACAGCCTGTAGCCGGGCAGAAGAGAGGTAGGTGGGGCTTCGGTTCCTAGGCTAGGGGTCTGAAGCAGAAACCACAAGGAGAAGAGGGAAGACGCCATGGGGTAGGTGGATCATGAGAACAGGGCCATAAGAGTTGATCAGTTAAGAGTTGCAGCAGCCCAGGTAGAATGTGGCAAGTTATATGCCAGGTTATTGATAAGAAAGTATACAAAATAGCATAGAGGGCTGATACCTGCCCAGCTCTAAGGCATTTAAGGCTTATTACAAATATAAAGGTCTTGTATCTTTGAGATAGAAACCCCCAATTAATATTTACCACAACAATGAGGTGATTACTAGGGCTGAACGGGGCCTCTAAGTGCCTTATATGATAAACTATATCTGGCACAGGACTCCAGCGAAAACCCCCTGAAGAAGACATTTTAGGATATGAGTTGATTTCAACTTTGAATCTGTGCCTGAGTATTTTTAGTTACTTAAGTGTGGGATCAAAGGCTCCTGAGGCACTTATACAAGTCAGGCTACACCCTGCCAGGAGCCACTGTCACAAGGCCTGGAGAAATGGCAAGCTGAGCCACAAGGCAGCTGGCCTGATAGCTTTTACGAGTCTTTGCTAGGCTGTGCCATTCTGGTTCTAAAAGAAAGAGGCGCAGAAGTACTGCACAACTATGTGTGTTTCAGAGAGCAAAGGGGCTTTGAAGGTATCTATCTAGTTCACCTGGACTTACCTGAGAGTCCTGAAAGGGAAGGCACCCTACAGCAGCCAAGAGGAAGAGGGCACTGTGGATAGGCAGATAAAACAGACAACTTCAGCTTTCAACATCAGAGCATGTCTCAGTATGTGCAGAGGTAGAGACACACCCTCTAGAATGTGCAAGTGAGCAAGAGACTGTAAGAGCACCCAGCTCCCCTGAGCATCTCTGACAGCCCCACTGCCTACATCTCACAGTTGTATGCTCTGTCGACAGTCAGGTGTTTTCTGTGGCTCAGTTAGCTGCTTCCAGTACTCACAGAGTTCCTGAGAACTAGAGCTAGCTCACTCCAAAAGTGTTCACTTCACCATCTATACCCTCAGATATGAGACAGGCAAACTGGGAGATCACATCACAATCATGTCAGTTACTGAAAGAACGCAGCACACAGAGTACATTATGTCACGGTTCACCACCTCTCTGTCTAAATAATTGATCTCAGTATCTCCAATAAGGAAGCATATCAAACATGCACTTCTTGATAAGTTACACTCAAAACACAGAATCAATCAAATGACATATTTAATAATGTGGAAATAATACCTAAATAATAATAAACCTAAACTTAGGCACAATCCATAAACAACAGGTCTGGACCATCAAAGATGTGAAGACTAGGCTGTTTCAGAAGGAAAAGGTACCCGTTGCCATGCCTGATGATAGTTTAATTTTCTCATTAATTTAATAAATGAACTTAATTCCGGGGTCATGGTGGAAGGAAAGAACTAACTCCAGTTAGTTGTCCTTTAACCTCCAAATAGCACACACGTGTGTGCTCGCAAGTGTGCACGCACGCGCGCACACACACACACACACACCAATAAATAATTGTAGTTTAAAGATGTTTAATGGGGGACTGGAGAGATGGCTCAGCAGTTAAAGAGTGCTCTTCTAGTGGTCCAGAGTTCAATTCCCAGCAACCACATGGTGGCTTGCAACATCTGGAACGGGATCCGATGCCCTCTTCTGGTGTGTCTGAAGATAGCTGCAGTGTACTCATATAAGTAAAAATAAGTAAATTTTAAAAAAACATTTAATGGAAAGGCAAGTAAAAATAAATAAATAAAAAGAAAGGCTGAAGAACTGGTTGATATTGAAAACACATGCCATCCTGTAGGGGAAACTCCTATAAAAGACAAAATGGGATACTGACAAAATTTAAACATGAACTCGGCACCTTATCAGTGCAATCCGCTAAATGTGAATGTGTTTCAGTTATATCAAGGACGGTTGATATTAGGAGACAAAGTACTTAAGAACAGGGTCATAGGCTCTGAAACCGATTCTCAAGTGAATCAGAAATCAGGCTTAGAAAATAAATACATATTCTATGCATGGGTCTGTATATATATGAGAGAGAAGAGGAAAAAAACAAATAAAAAAAGTAGAAATGTGTAAATGTAGGAATCCACTGTAAGAGTCTTGCTTAATCTTTTTTTAAAATACTGTCTTTTTTAAAATGATTTGTTTATTTTTATTTTATGTGCATTGGTGTTTTGCTTGCATGTATGTCTGCATAAGGGTATCAGATCCCCCAGAAATAGAGTTGCAGACAGTTGTGAGATGCCACTGGTTACTAGGAATTGAACCTGAATCCTCTAGAAAAGCATCTAAGTGTCCCTAACCTCTGAGCATCTCTCCAGCACCTCTTGCTTAATCTTTACTTCCCAGACAAAAAGTTTTTAAGAAAAACCTTTTATACTCCTGAAATATAGGTGAAATGCTACTGTGCTAGTTTTTGCATCAAAGTCATCCTGAGGGAAGGGAGAGGGTGGATCTGGCTAGGATCACAGACTAGGAAACACATCCAGAGACTTCATTTTATATTGTCTACTTATACGTATATTTAGAGATTTCTACAAAATATTCCTCTTAAAAATTCTCTTACAGCCGGGCGGTGGTGGCACACGCCTTTAATCCCAGCACTTAGGAGGCAGAGGCAAGCGGATTTCTGAGTTTGAGGCCAGCCTGGTCTACAGAGTGAGTTCCAGGACAGCCAGAGCTACACAAAGAATCCCTGTTTCAAAAAATCAAACCAAACAAACAAACAAACAAACAGCCCAACACATCCATTCAGAGGTATTGTCAGAGCTCTCCTTGCTGATAAATGGGGTTTTAGCATCTCTCTTCTGGGTTTCATACACAGAAAGAGCTTTCTTTGGGCTTTGACCAACAAATTTCTCCGTTTAAAAAGAGGTACCAAAAAAGCACTGATCCTAAGCCAGCTTACTCCTCCTTCTCTAGCCATTTTATAAGACAGCAACATGCCCAGCCCTTACCCCTACTCCTGATCTGTTGCATCGCTGGCAACTGAGAGAAGGCCAAAGACACAAAGAGCAGTACTCAACAGCGTCTGCACAGAGGGCAGCGCTCAGTACAGCCTCTGCACGCGGCAGGCAGTGCTTAGTACAGCCTCTACACCTGGAAATTTTAATTTTTCTTCAGTAACGGGAGCTGGCGCTATAGTCTCATCCATACTAATCAAAGACTCTGCTGCTGAGTTATCCCAGCCCTGCTTTTACTTTTTATCATGAGACAGGATCTCATTACCTTGCCCGAGGTGGCTTTGAATTTTCAAATCTCATGCCTCAGCCTTCTGAGAAGCTGTTATTACAGGGCTTTCTTTGCCACCACACCTGGCTTTCAGATTTTTACATAGGGCATGATTAGGCATCTCATATCAATATATATACTTCATGTACAGAATCTTCTATATAGATCACAAGCATATATATGTACATGTACACACACACACACATGCACACACACACACACACACACACACACACACCAATGTAACGAACGTACAATCTGAGAGTCACAACCTGAGTACACTGTGCACAGTGATGCAGACCCATTCAATGGTCCTCCCTGCTGTAACAAATGGCTATCTGTGTACTGCACCCAGACTTGCAGAGCTGTTAGGGCCCAAGGCAGAATGAGGCACTGGGGATCTCTCCTAGCTGAACCCTGGTTTAGGGAAGGTCAGAATAACACGGGCCAGCCACAACCCAGAAGCCTCTGCACTTAGCCTGCCCTCCTCTGGCAGCTGTGGTGAAATGAAAGCAGGGAGGGATGAGCGAAGGGGACCACCAGGGGCTTCCTGGGCCAGCACAGCAATGTGGTAGGGTTAGTGGGGAGGAGGAGAATCTGGATGGGCTGGGGCTCCCCTCAAGCGGAAGGCCAGCCAGAATACACAATGCGTTCCTCACAAATGGGATGAGCAGCACGGGGATCTCAGGGTGAAACTGGACTGGCTCCCACAGCACCTGCCCTCAAGCCACACTAACTACATCAGGTAGTCACTCATAGATCAGGAATAGCTTCTGACAACAGCTAATCTCCTTCTAAAAAAGAGGATGGGTCCTATGGTTGTGTTGACATTTTTCTCAAGTTGTAACTTGTACTAAAAGTCAAGGAAGATGAAGGGGACTGGATGGATGAAAGCCCAGGAATCCATGCAGCAACAACACAACCTAAGCCAGTTTATCCACTGGTGTTCTGCCTTCAGGGTGCAGCTTCTCAGTCCCTGCTGAGGGAGAGGGCAGTCCAAGCAACCAACACTGTCAGAACAAGGATGTGGAGGCACAGGCACCTACATCTGAGTCTGGCCTGCCTGGGACACACTTTGCTGAGACCCCTCTGAGGCACAGAGCATTTTAAAACTTATCTATGATCATAGTCTGAAACCACAATTCAGACCCTGAGATGTACTTTTACCATCATGAAAAGTCATGGATCTCATGGTGCTTGCTAGTCTATGTCAGTTTTACCCAAGCTAGAGTTATCTGAAAGGAGAGAACCTCAGTTGGGAAAATGCCTCTATAAGATCCAGCTCTAAGGATTTCTTAATTAGTGAATGACAGAGGAGGTCCAACCCACTGTGAGTGGCACCATCCATGGTCTGCTGTTATTGGGTTCTATAAGAAACCAGGCTAAGCAAGCCATGATGTGCAAGTCAGTAAGCAGCACCTCTCCATAGCCTCTGCACCAGTCCCTGCCTCTAGGTTCTCGCCCTGCTTGAGGTTGCTGTTCTGACTCCTTTGATGATGAACAGTGATGTGGAAGTGTAAGCTGGATAAACCCTTTCCTCCTCAACTTGCTTTTTGGTCATGGTGTTTTATCACAGCAATGGAACCCTAAGACACCTAATAATGCAAATATCATTTTAAATATACATGGATGCACATATACATGTTCGTGTGTGAAGGGGTGCATATGGGGAGGTACATGTGTGTGTGTGAGTGAACCTGTGGAGTCTAGAGGTCACACACAGGAATGAACCATTTTGTGTTCTGAGACAGGGTCTCAAAACCTTGCCTCCCCATTACATCCCACACTGCAATTACAAACCTCCAGCACCACACTCGGCTTTTAAAGTATGAGCTGGAGACTGAGCACAGGCATCACGCTCACGTGATAGTACTAGCTATCTCCCCCGACCCCTGAATCCCCCACCCCCACCTGTTTTTATTTTTTAGACTATAAGTTGTTGCATGGCTTTCATTTGGTTCTCCATCACCACCGCTGCACAATTAGTGAAGCTTTGTGTACTCACTGAGGGAATATAATGTAGGTTAGTTTTTCCCCTCAGAAGAAAATATTGCAAAAATGAACAATTTTAAAAATGAGAAACAACTCAAGCAGTGTACATATCTTCTGAAGAACTGCAGGTAGATCATAATTCAAGGCAGTGTACCATATAGACCATGACATGTTTCAAGGCACAGGCCAAGAAGATTTTGTACTTTTCCACCACCTGGACCCTCTTACCCCCTCCCCTTGTAAAACATGCTATAAAAAAAAGCATTTCATGTTCAAAAAAAAAAAGAAATAAAAAAAAGAAATAAAAAAAAAGAACTGTCAAAAAAAAAATGAGAAACAAAGCACAAATGTATAAGTGATGATAATAAATCCCTCCTTCAGCAGTTCATCAGCTGAGTTAAAATCAGGTTACATCTTATATCCCCAAGCTGTTTTAACTTACCTACAGATCTTTGAGAGCGATGTTTTCTGTATGAAAGTGAAGAGACATAATAATTAATTACTCTTTCAAAACTCTTTAATTCCCTTGAATAGAAACATTTTGATTAAAAAGCAAATAAATTACTAATGTTTTAGGGAGCTTAAGAGCTCACTGTCAGGGCTGGAGAGATGGCTCAGTGGTTAAGAGCACTGCCTGCTCTTCCAAAGGTCCTGAGTTCAATTCCCAGCAACCACATGGTGGCTCACAACCATCTGTAATGGGATCTGATGCCCTCTTCTGGTGTGTCTGAAGACAGCAACAGTGTACTCATCATATAAATAAATAAATAAATAAATAAATAAATAAATAAATAAATAAGCGAGCAGCGAGCTCACTGTCAGGGGATAGAGAGATAGCTCAGCAAAGAGTATCACTTGAGTTTAGGAGTTCTGGCTGTTCTTCCAAAGGTCCTGAGTTCAATTCCCAACACCCACATGGTGACTCATAATTATCTATAACTGTAGTCCCAAGGGATCTGATGCCTTCCTCTGATATGCATATAAGCAGACAAAACATTCACATACATAAAATACATACATAAATACATCTTTTATTTATTTTAAAGAGAGCTTGCTGAAATTTAGTGTTTCCTGTAGCTTCTGCTGCTTGGACCAAACAAGAATGACTTAGGGCAGAGCTGAGTCCTCTGCCAAAGCGCTTTGACCACTGGTAGTGTGAGCATATGAACAACGGCATGTCAGGGCCAGTCTTCTTCAAATCTTACACACAAATCCAAGGACACAGATAGAAGTCAATGTGATCTCCACAAGAAAAGAAACTAACCTCTAGGTCAACTTCTAGCCTCTGTATATGTATTGATTTATTTAGTGATTTATTTCAAATATCTATAATTTACATGTATGACTTGACAAACACCACATGCATGCAGATTCCCACAGAGGCCAGAAGAGGGCACTGGATCTCCTAGAAATGGAGTTACAAAATTATTATAAGACACTTGATATGGACGCTGGGAACTGAACCCAGGTCCTCTTCAAATGCAGTAAGTGGCCTTTTCTTTTTTTTCTTTTTTTTTTTTTTTTTTGGTTTGGTTTGGTTTTTCGAGACAGGGTTTCTCTGTGTAGCCCTGGCTGTCCTGGAACTCACTCTGTAGACCAGGCTGGCCTAGAACTCAGAAATCCGCCTGCCTCTGCCTCCCAAGTGCTGGGATTAAAGGCTGCGCCACCACTGCCCAGCTCACAGTTACACATTTTGTGGCATATGAAAAGTAAACAGAAATGAGGATAAGGAACATTGAGTCTCGCCCTCAGAGAGGGGGAAAAAATAGCAGATTGGGGGAATAGAAATCTGGCATTGGAAATGAAGAAAGTATATCTCTTCCTTGACAACATCTTTTTAATCAAATCAACTAAATTAACCCTTGGCACAGAAAAATGAAGGTTTAGCCAAGTCAGTCAGGAAGAATGACATATTAATTCTGAATATTTCAGAACCATTTTACTATCTGGGACAAACTACAATTTTTGATGCCTAATCAAACAGTGTGACATATAAGCATGTTTTGACAAAAGGCTAAAGCCAGGCACAGTGACACACATCTGTCATGCCAGCACTTCAGAGCCCAAGGCAGGAAGATCATGAGTTCAAGGCCACTTTTGGCTACAGAGTGAGTTCCAGGATGACAGCTAGACAGTTTACAGGGCAGTCTAAGATTTAAAAAAAAAAAAAAGACAAAAGAAACTTGTTGTCTGGTCTCCAGGATACCTTAGGTTTTCACCACTGGTAAATAACCATAAGTAAATGTTATTTGAATACAAAGCCCTGGCTTGACTCTTTGGAAGCAGGGCAAACATGGCTGTGCTGCCCCCTAGTGGGAAGACTGTCTGAGCTCATAAGACCTGTATTTTTGACCCAATTATGGTAAAAATGTGTTGTTTTTCAAGCTGTATTAGAATCTGAACATAGATCTAAAGACACGCCTTGTTAAGAGCAAGCTTGGAGGGCAGAGGGTGCAGAGGGTGCAGAGGGTACGGGCAGTCTACCTTTGCCAGGAAGAGTGTGTCTACTCAGTAACTACTGCGGGCTGATGACTGAACAATTATGTCACCAGTCGACTGGAGTTCAGCCTCTCAGAGAGCAGGTTCTTTCTATATTAAATTAGTTTTATTTCATTTTAACTATAATGCATTTTGTTTTGTTTGATACAGGGTCTTATGTAGCCCAGGCTCGCCTTTAACTCACTCTACCTTCCATTCCTGGGATTCAGGAATGTACTATCACAGCCAGCTAGTTTTTTCCCATGAGACAAAACTGTCTCAAGCTGGCTTTGGATTCATAATAATCCCCCTGCCTCATCCCCCTCCTGAGAACTGGAATTTCAGTATAAGCTACTATGCCCAGAGCTATTTTTCTGTGTCCAGCCTTTGTGACTAGAGCGGCTGAGACAGAGAATGAGAACATGAACCAAGCTTGTCACACCACTCAGTTGCCAACTGTGACTTGACTGTAAAGCATTCCCATTTCAGGGCCTCAACCCAAACGTAAACGGTCCCCATAGTAGCTCAGGGTCTAGGGTGCAAAATGGCTAAATGTAGTAACAGACACCTATAATCCCAGCCCTTGGGAGACAGAAACAGGAGAACTGCAAGTTCAAGGCTAGCCTGGGCTACACAGTGAGGAAGAAAAGGTCACAATAACAAAAATTATAATGAGGGCAAAAATCACTCTGGATTATCTAACTTACTACAAGTACTGCTTTGCCTTCGTGGGGTGTCATCCTAAGGGCGCTTTCTATATTGCCAGTATAATTATGAGTCAACAGCCATGGATTATCCTATAAAGACACCCAAGACATGAAGGAAACCAGGGAAGAGGTTAATGCCACAGCCTGCCTGCCAGCCCTTGAGTGACGACCTCTCTGACCTTAAGTCACCAACCTTTGACTGCTGCTTCCTCTGCCTATCTGAAGTTTCCATTTTCCCCTTGTCAGCTGGAAAATTCCACACGTCCCACATAGCTCAACTCAAATCTATCCCCCTGGAAGGCCTTTCCTGTGGTGACCGGTCCTCCCACATTCAATTCCAGCCACATATGACCCTATGGGCATCAAAGCCCACATGTTAGGGTCAGTTCTTCTCTACTCTGAGCTCTGTGACAGCCACAAATGCAGCTCCAAATCTCAACTGTAGGCCTGACAAAATGTTCGTTATTTAGTATAAACAATATACATTAAAAAAACAAACAAGCTGGGCAGTGGTGGTGCACGCCTTTAATCCCAGCACTTGGGAGGCAGAGACAGGCGGATTTCTGAGTTCGAGGCCAGCCTGGTCTACAGAGTGAGTTCCAGGACAGCCAGGGCTACACAGAGAAACCCTGTCTCGAAAAACAAAAAAACAAAAACAAAAAAAACAACAACAACAAAAACCACAAAAACAAACAACAGTGGTCGTCCCACAAGCCACCATTAGTTGTAGGGAGTGGTTCTGATACTAAAATCCTGTTCCACTATTGGTTCTTGATCTGTCAGTAAAAAAAGCCATGGGCCAATTGCTGAGCAGAAGGCACAGGTGGAACTTCCAGGTCCCTGGAGGCAGGTGGGGAGACATGAAGTTCTGCCATGCTTTGGAGGGAGAAGAAGCCAGCAGATATGTGAGGTCTCAGGAGAAGCTGGGGCCTGTGGCCACTTCTATAGGTGGGTGGTCAGGAATATCTGGCAGGGGCTAGATGGGACTAGCCTCTGAAGTGTAGGGCAGATGGGAGAAGCAGAGCTAAAAATATTATTGAGGGAATGCTTTTTCAAGTGGGACACAGTAGCGTCCAGCAATTGTGTCAACAAGGAGAGCTGAAAATTGAACAACTGTGTGTCTGTCTTTATCCGAGGAGTCAAGGGAAGCTGGGAGGGGGCTGGTAGGGCTGTCACTTCCCCGAGCAAAGGCAGGTACGTGCAACAGTTAGTTTATAGTTGAACTCTGTGTATCTAAGGGAGAACAGTGGATAGAGAGAGAACACATAGAACTAATTATGTGTGGTAAAAAAACGAACTACAGACTCTATATCAAGTTAATTCTCAACCTAGGAATGGTACCACGAGGGAGTCAATTTCACACTTTAGAATTTACTCCATTGGCCGGGCGGTGGTGGCGCACGCCTTTAATCCCAGCACTTGGGAGGCAGAGGCAGGCGGATTTCTGAGTTCGAGGCTAGCCTGGTCTACAGAGTGAGTTCCAGGACAGCCAGGGCTACTCAGAGAAATCCTGTCTCGAAAAACCAAAAAAAAAAAAAAAAAAAAAAGAATTTACTCCATTAAAATGATATATAATGGCAAAGCCAAACCTTATTGTAACTTGGTTTGACATTTATTATTAGTGTTGGGGTATGAATGTGCAGCTCCAAGGACAACTTATGGCAGTCAGTTCTCTTCTACTATGTGGGTTCTAGGAATCAGCTAAGTTGTAGAGCATGGAGACAAGCCACCCATTGAGCCACCTCACTGCCCTCACTGGAACATATGATAGCATGTGAGGGAGGGAACAACTGTATTCTTCATGAACATAAGAATATACCCCAAGGAAGTGGCACAGCCATGTAGATAGAAGCTGCAAGATTTCAGATTCCAGGCTAGCCTGGGCTACAGAGTGAGACCTTTTCTCAAGAGAAAGGAAACATCATGTTGGCAGAGGAAGAAGCAGTTGAAAGCTGGTGACTTCAGATCAGAGAGGCTGTCACTGAAGCCTGGCAGGCAGGCTGTGGCACTGTTAGTGGTCCATATGGTACAAACCTGGAGTCCAGCACTTAGGAAGCAGACTCAGGAAGATCTCTGTGAGTCCAAGCCTAGCCTTGATCTACAAAATGAGGTACCAGGGCTACAAAGTGAGACCCTGACTCAAAACAAAAAACATCAACACAAACAAACAAACAAACAAACAAACAGAAACTCAGAAAAGACTGTAATACCACACTGCTAGGAGGAAAAACAAACACAAAACCCACCCACACATGAGCAATGAGGGTCTAGCCTCCACCTCCT